TTTTTTGAGACAGAATCACACTTTGTTGCCCTCGGTAAAGTGCTGCGGCCTCATAGCTCACAGCAACCTCAAACTCTTTGGCTCAAGCGATTCCCTTGCCTCAGCCTCCTAGGTAGCTGGGACAACAGGTGTTGCCACAACACCCAGTTATTTTTAGAGACAGGGTCTCACTCTAGCTCAAGCTGTTCCAAACCTGTGAACTGAGGCAATCCTCTTGCCTCAGCCTCCCAAGTGCTTAGAATTACAGGCTTGAGCCACTGCACTCGGCCTGAATATGTTTTTTTGTTTTGTTTTGTTTTGGTAATGGAGGAGAAGCAGTTGGGGTTTTTTTTGTAGAGACAGAGTCTCATTTTATCGCCCTTGGTAGAGTGCCGTGGCATCACACAGGTCACAGTAACATCCAACTCCTGGGCTTAGGCGATTCTCCTGTCTCAGCCTCCCAAATAGCTGGGACTACAGGCACCTGCCACAACGCCCGGCTACTTTTTTGTTGCAGTTTGGCCAGGGCTGGGTTTGAACCCGCCACCCTTGGTATATGGGCCCGGAGCCCTACTCACTGAGCCACAGGTGCTGCCCCCAGCACCTGGCTATTTTTTGTTGCAATTCGGCCAGGGCTGGGTTTGAACCTGCCACTCTCGATATATGGGCTGGTGCCCTACCCATTGAGCCACAGGCACTGCCCAGCCTGAATATTTTTATATACTTAACCAGTTAAGCATTGCAGATCCAAAAATTCTAAGTCCATGATGCTCCAATGCGTATATTCTTAGAACATCATATCCATGATGGAATGCCTCACATGGCATCATGGAATGTTCACATGTGGAAGCATTTGGATTTTCAGATGTGGGATGTTCAACCTGTGTTGTGTTTTTTACAAATCAAAAGTTTGTGGCAACCCTGTATCAAGCAAGTCTATTAATGATCTTTTTGGGTTTTTTTGAGACAGAGTCTCACTATGTCACTCTTGGTAGAGTGCTGTGGCATCACAGCTTACAGCAACCTAAAGCTTTTGGGCTTAAGTGATTCTGTTGCCACAGCCTCCCAAGTAGCTGGGATTACAGGTGCTTGCCACAACACCTGGCTATTTTTTGGTTGTTGTTTGGCGAGCTCGTGCTGGGTTCAAACCCGCTAGCTCTAATGTATGTGGCTGACGCCTTAGCCACTGAGCTACAGGCCGCAAGCTTTGATGACCTTTTTCTAACTACATGTGCTTGCTTTGTGTCTTTGTTAGCATTTTTTAACCATAAAATATTTTTGGTTAAGATATATTGTCTTTTTAGACAAAAATACGATTGCATGCTTAGTAGACTACAGTACCATGTGAATAACTTTTATATGCATTAAGAAACCAAAAAGTTTGTGTAACTTTCTTTATTGCAATATTCACTTTATTGCCATGGTCTGGAACTGAACCCGTAATATCTCCCAGATGTGCCTATAGTGTGACAGAGTATGCTCTCTCCTAGACTTGCATTTTTCACGCTGGGCTCTCAGAATGGGGAGAGTACAGGTTCTGTAGGAGGTCTTATTTGGGAAGTCCATCCATGAGAGTGCTCCATGAACTTCACACTGTACTTCATGGTTTTCTGGTTGTAGGGACTGCCGCCATGCGGAATACCAAAAGGGGTTCCTGGTACATTGAGGCCCTCACCCAAGTATTCTCTGAGAGAGCTTGTGACATGCACGTGGCTGACATGCTGGTCAAGGTAAGTTGGCTGAGTTGGGCTCCTTGAGCCTGTACAAGTCTAGGGTTCTGGCTCCTTCCTTTAATGCATTCTTTTTCATCATTTCTTTACCCTCCTTGTTCTGCTGTAATGAAAGCATGAGATTCTCAGACTTGGGTCCATTTGGTTTGCCCTTCCAGGTGAATGCGCTTATCAAGGAGCGTGAAGGCTATGCCCCTGGCACAGAGTTCCACCGATGCAAGGAGATGTCTGAGTACTGTAGCACTTTGTGCCGTCACCTATACCTGTTCCCAGGACACCCTCCCACGTGATGCTACCTCCCCATTATCCATGCCAGATGGAAGCCACTGGATCACAGGAGGTGTGACGGAGCCTTTTCTCTTCAGGATACAGGATTTCTGTTCTTTCCCCTCAGGAATGTGGGAGTCTCCCAAGCTTGGTTCCTCTGCCCATCATCTCTGCCTTTGCGTGTAGGACTCCAAGCCAGCTCCTCCTCTGTGAAGCTCTTTCTCTATGGAGCTGGCTCTTGTTGGTCTTGTTGCCAGGAATGTTTTGGCTGCAGTTGAAGAGCCTGACAAGTGATATTGTAAATACAGTGTGTCATGGGGAGAGGACATGTGGGTTTTTCTCCATGTTTGTGTTCACTTCCTGCCCCCAGGGCTTTGTAGGTAGCACTTTGGTAATTGCTTTTATTACATATTTAATTACATTAGTTAAGATGTCTCAAAGATCATCTACTATCTTTCCTTTATTTCATATTCCCAGCCCCATTTGTTCCAGAGTGAAAGTTTGGAAGATGTCCAAATTTAATGTGGATATTTTCCTTTGGCTTTAAAGAGGCAGCACTGACTAGAGACACACTTTGCCGCTGTGTGTGCAAGAGGCCTGTGCGTTCCCATCAGTATTGCAGGGCCACCCAGTGGAAGGACCTTCTTGGTTCTTCTGGATTCAAAGCACCCTTCCTGAGAGATCAGGTATGAGTACCTTGTATCTGTACCTTGCTGGGTTTTGCTCATAGACATCTCAAAGATCAATCCTTGGCCATTCTTTTTCTAAGCTTTGTTACTGAAACCAGCCTTGCAGGGAGTGTCACAGAAGGCCAGGAAGAGTAATGTCCATCCTCAGACTGTAGCCTCCTGCCATATTCTCTTTTTCCTTCCTTTGAAATGTCCCTCTCTCTTTCATTCAGCCGGCCTATACTGCATATTTGGGTTGCTAGAAGAGCTTTTCCAGTTGTAGCTCCCTGCTTTATGCCTCCCCCTCTTTACCTTCATTTCATCCTGTTTACTGCTGCCACCAATCTATCCAAAATATTATTTCTCTGGATTATCTGGCCACTCAAAGATGTAATATGCTACTTCCTGCTTTCTGCTCTGGTATTAAAGTCTCCTTTGATGTTATCCTTTCTTTTATCAAGGCTTTTGCTGTTACTCCATTACCCTAGAAACCTTTATTATGCTTATCTGAAACTTTACCGTTCTTTCAGTATTTCCATTCTTGCCCCCTCCAGTCTCTTCTCCACATAACAGTAGTTTGGGGTTTGGGTTTTTTTTATTTTTAATTTAATTTTATTTTTTGAGACAGAGTCTCACTTTGTCACCTTCGGTAGAGTGCCGTGACGTGTTAACTCACAGCAACCTCAAACTTTTGGGTTCAAGTGATCCTCTTGCTTCAGCCTCCCAAGCAGTTGGAACTACAGGTGCCCACTGGAACGCCTGGCTATTTTTTAAAGACAGGGTCTTGTTTAGGCTAGTCTTGAACTCATGAGCTCAGGCTGTCCACCTGCATCAGCTTCCCAAGTGCAGAGATTATAGGCATGAGCCACCGCGCCCAGCCTTGGTTTTGATTTTTCAAATACAGTAGAACCTCTTAGTAAGTGTAACCATTGAAGGGGCTGTAACAAACTAGTCAACGTACAGAGGTGGCCACATAAGGAACCAGGCAGGCTCAGCGCCTATAGCTCAACCGGCTAAGGCACCAGCCACGTACACCTAAGGTGTCGGGTTCGAATCCCCAGCCCGGACCCGCCAAACAACGATGATGGCTGCAACCAAAAAATAGCCGGGCGTTGTGGCGGGCGCCTGTGGTCCCAGCTACTTGGGAGGCGGAGGCAGAAGACTCGCTTGAGCCCAGGAGTTGGAGGTTGCTGTGAGCTGTAATGCCACGGCACTCCACCCAGGGGGACAGCTTGAGGCTCTGTCTCAAAAAAAAAAAAAAAAAATAAGGAACCAGGCCAACTGTGTACATGTGGTACATGTCCTGTCTATGAAAATCAGGTCAATTTAGGAGGTGGTCAGCTGTGGAGGTTCTACTGTATAAATCTGATCATGTCTGGCTGGAACTCCTTTAGCACTTCCTATTATACGTCGTTTAAAATTTGGACTCTACCTTGGTTTATGAGATCTCGCGCTTGCCTTCCCCTACAACCTCATTAAATGGTAATGTCTCACTGCACTTAAGCCCCAAGGGTATCCTCTCAGTGTCCGAACGTTTTGAGTTCTTTCCTGCCCTCCTCTTGCCCTTTTGAGCTCTCCAGTCCCACCACTTTTGCCTCAGGCAGCATCTTTATTCTTTAAGTCTGGGTTTAAATGCCACTTTCTTGTGGAGGATGGCCCTGGGCCCTTGTGTTTCTAAGCACATCCTTCTCCTGTGTCTCTATTACTACATCCTGTTACCTTTGTTGCAATTTATAATTATGTATTTGCTTATTTTACTTGTTCATTTCTCTTTACTCTTAACTGACTATAAATGAGGGCCCAAATCTTGTCCTTTTTATTTACCAATATGTACCCAGTGCCTGGCAGATAGTAAGTCTTCAAAAAATGTTTGTTGAATGAATGAAGGAAGCAAGTAAGCTAATCCCAGCTAAAATCCCTCTTTTTTCCCTTTTGACAGTATACATGGTTAGTATTTGTACTTTTATGTTTTTCTATGTGTGTTATTTTTTAATCCACTGGTATTTTTAGCTACTTGAGGACACATCATGTGTGAGACAGCTTACTTCTTATCTCCCATGGTGCTGAGCAAAATGCTAGGCCTGTAGTAGCCAAGGTGCTCAATAAATATTTGTGCTGTGAGCCAGGTGGTTTGAAGACTTGCTGCCAAGTCCTGCCTTGGGGTCAGCATAGTATGGAAGTATTTGAATGATATAACCTTTCCATTCCCACTGCCAGGATTTTGTATTGCCATCAGGTGCCAAATAAATACTCATATTTATTACTGATGTGTGCCTGATATCTGTTTCTCTAAGTGCTTTGTCTTGTGAAGCCCCATATTCTCATTTCCTTAGCCCATCACACTGAGCATTCTCCCCAGCTCACAAGGCACTCCTAGAACTGCAAACCCCTCCTTATTTTGCTGCCATAATCTTTTCTTATAGGCAGATGTGGGCCCATCTCAGTTGTCAAGTCTGGAGTTTCTCAGTCAGGTGAGATGGAAGCAGTGTTGGTTTGGGGTTAGATAAGGGGATTGAGGCTGAAGTAACAGATTGGAGTAGGAGGATGAGAGGGAGGGAATAGTAGAATTCCATTTTTCACCTGGTCCTAGTTGGATTTAATGGTTTCTAGGGCAGATGTAGATTGTAAGAGAGTTACCAGGCAACACAAAAGAGATTAAAATGGGCTGTTTGTAAATTGGTATTATGGGAGTGCATTGTTTCTAAGGCAGATTCCTAGAGAGGTAAGTGGAGGTGCAGATAGGCTGTGGAGGTTTACCAAGAGATGGGAGATTGTATAGCCATGTTTGTGATGAAACAGCTGTGGAACCTGTTTGAGGAAAACAGGAGTGGTGGCTATCAAGGAAGAGCAAAGGGGATTGAGTTGAGCTGGAGCACAGCACCAGATATAGGCAGATTTGGTGAAGAACACTTTTAGGGGCAAAAGGCCATGAATAATGGTTAGAAGTGGTTGCTTATACTGCAAGAAAAAACAACAGTGGGATAGCATCAAGGGAGGAATACAAATGGTAGGACAGGTTAGGAAATTCCCAGAATAGTAGAAGTAAGGTAAGTACTGATTTTCAGGAAAGGAAAGCTTTGCAGAGGTGTGATACATTTGGCTATTACAGAGCAGCATCTGTCTGAGCTAGATTCCAGTCCTCACCCCCGCCCTTGAAGAAGGGTATGAGGTTGGATTTCACAGCTCTATTCCCTTGCCCCACATACCTTTGCCAGGGGATTCTTTTCTAAAATTATCTCCCTTCCTGAGCTGGGGGCTGCCCTTGCTGCCCTTTCCCATCCTGTTTCCTCTAATGGGGAAAGGAATACAGGAAGAAGTGGGATATCAGATTTGAACTATGACGTTCGGAGGGAAAGGAAGGGGTCCAATTTGAGGAGGAGGAAATCGTTAATAACAGCTATAACTGACGAGTGGCATGTTGTAGGCACTGAGCATGGAGCTTTCCATTCCGTCTTCCCCACAGTCCCATGAGGGAGTCATTTTCCCATTCTTTACAGAAGAGGGAAATGAGGCTCAGAGGCTTTAGTTATCAAAAGAGGAAGAAATGTAGTTTCAAGGGCATGAACTCCAGAATGAAGGAGATCTGATGTTGAATGGCAGCTCTGCCTTTGAAGGTATCAAAGACCTTGAATAGGTAACCAACACTGAGCCTCAGTTTCCCTTAACTAAAAATAAAATTGTTTCTACCTTAAAAGTGCTCTATGAGGATTAGATGTGGTGCCTGTAAATCTCATGGTGGTAATGTATTTAAAGTGCTGGTTGTGTGTTAACTGTAGCAGAAGTCAACAGTCAGTACATGCATTATTTTACACTCATAACTCTCTAGTTAGACCCTTTCTGAGGAGACTGAGACCAGGATGTGAAACTAAATCTGTCAGCTTGAATGCATGCCCTTAACTAACAATCTTGTTTCAGTGGCATTTTTCCTGGCACGAGATTTTTTTTCCCTCCTCACTTTTTTGGGCTATAGATTTCTTCCTATTCGACTGGGAGAATAAAACTGAGACCCCAAACTCTCATTCCATCGTAACCCTATTTAGATGGGAATTTGGGGGAAAGTGTATCATGTTTGGAAAACCAGAAGGGGGAGAAAGAGACCCATCAAGTGCTACAGGGAAGCCCTGAAACACAGGACATAGGAAAGGGCCATGGATTCTTCAAAGATAGAGGGGACAAGACTCAATAAAGGATAGAAAATAAGTGACCACAGTGAAGTGTGCTGCAAAGTATCTCCCAAAGCCGTTGTAGCTTAGCTGAGATTTCAGGAAGTAAGTGGGCATGGGTTCCATGCTGCCTAGGTGGACAGAGAAGTGATGACTGAAATCAGCCGTAAAGGGTATAGTGGTTATATTGCCCAGTATTCTGGGAAGCCCAGACTTGAGGAGGTGAGAGTGAAAGCAAAGGGGTAACATAGCAAGAAAATGCATGCTTAAATTGACTTGGGGTTGCCAGAGGACTGTCTCATGCACAGCCACCTCTATCCTCAAGAAAACTTTCTTCTCTATGCTGTATTCTCTGTGACCACTATTCAGTCTTCAAACAGAAAATCCATAAGGCTATGGGTTTTAACCTCTCAGCATCATGGACCCTAGGAGAATCTGTTTAAAACTAGAAGAATTACATATTATTCATGCATGCTTATAAATTCACTTCTGCATTTGGGAGCTTCATAAAAATCCCCAGAAGCCCATCTTTTCTTCTTCCACTTAAGAACCTAAGCCTTAGGCCCAACAGGATGTTGGACTGAGGGGTAGGCGTAGTTTACATTTTGTTTTCTTGTTCTTGTGCAGGACAATAACCCATGGTTAAATAGTTTAAATCACTATTTCTATCTCCAGCATTAGCAGCCTTGGGTGCCCTTGATAGAATCTGTTGGTCCTTATCAGGCCTCACACTTTCACTCAGTATGGCCCATGTGCGTACTTTTCCAGCCCCATTGGTCTCTGCCTTCAAGTCTCAAGAGTCCAGGACCTGACTTTCTCACAAATAGTAAGAAAGTAATTGCATCTCGTATTTCTTGTGGTTATCAAGTTTCTACAGAAACTAATAACTTTCAGAAGAGCCATACTCCACAAACAGGTGAAAATCTTTTCTGTTTCTGAAGCCCTCCGAAGATTATAATTTCACTTTGGTACTATACATTTTTTTTAATTAAGAAAATATTCCTTTCATTTCCTACC